GTCACAGCTCTCCACATTAACAAGGTTTATTTATAGGATAACAGTTCAATCATACATGGAAATCAAAGATGGTCTCATTTTATTCGTTCAGTATATGTTCTTTTGATTTGAGATATGCTTGTGTAGTTAGATTTTCTTTAACTGTATATTCATACAGTTTCTTTTATTATAATCACTTTTAGTGCATTCAATTCTTAATCACATCAACTTTCCAAAACTTGTCTAGACTAGTCTTATTCCTATCTCTTTCAGTCTCTTTCACTATCTCTCTGTTACTCTTCTCTCTAAGATAACCAGGGCCTTAACTGCCTAAACTGTCAATAACTGTCTTTCTTTCTCCTTATTTCCCTAGTTCCGCCCCTCCTGTCATGTCATAGGCTCCCACATCAGAGCTCTGACCTGACTGACAGGAGTGTTCTGAGAGCGGTCCGTCACAGTGATCTATGGACTAGTGGGCTGGCAAGTGAATTCTGTCTTATTTTGACCTTTTCGAGGGTTTTCTAAGTATAGAGTGTACAGTGGTGCCCTGGTAGACGCTTACCCCGCATGACGTCGAAATCGCTTGTGATCGCAAAACGATGGTTCCAATGGGGGAAATCCGCATTACAGTGGTGCCTTGCTTAGCGATCGCTCCGTTGAGCGATGAAATCGCTTTGCGATTGACTTTTGGCCATCGCTGGAGCGATCGCTTAGCGATGTCCCCTATGGCTAAAATTCGGTTTGCGATGATCGCAGGGAAGCGATCATGGCAAATCGAACTTTTTTAAACAGTGATTGGCGGTTCCAAAATGGCTGCCGCAAAAACAAAATGGCCACTGCTGTTTTGCCTCGCTTTAGAGGCACCCAAAATGGCCACCGCTATGGAGGAATTTCGCTTTAAGGTAAGTTTTTAGTCCATAGGAACGTATTAAACGCGTTTTAATACGTTCCTATGGGCTTTTTAATATCGCTCAGTGATTAAATCACTTAGCGATGTTTTTTCCGGAACGGATTAACATCGCTAAGTGAGGCACAACTGTACATTGATTATTAGCCTGCTTCACGAACCGTTTGTTCGCTATACGATGATTTTTCCAGCCCCGCAAAATGGCTTCCCTCCCTTCGCAAAATGGCTGCTTTCCGGATGGAAGCTTCGCATCACAGCAATCTTGAACAGCTGATCAGCGGTTCTCTATGGGCAATCTTAACTGGACGATGAGGTATTTCCCCAATTAGAACGCATTGACCGGTTTTCAGTGCATTCCAATGGGGATTTTTTTCACTTGACGACGATTTCGCTTAACAGCGATTTTGCTGGAATGCATTATCGTCGTCAAGCGGGGCACCATTGTACTCAGAAGTGGTTTGCCGTAGGTAAACTGTACAGTTCCAAGCCTCCCCCTAGAGGAAGGGTAGGGGAAACCACTTCTGAGTATTTTCTACCTGGAAAACCCTGGAAAGGGTCACCATTAGTCGGAATTCACTTGACAGCCCATGATGATGATGATGATGATGATGATGATGATGATGATGAAGATGAGTCACTGTGGCTGTGTGCTGTCAAATTGCTCTCAGTTCATGGAAGCCCTACGAATGAGTGATCTCCAAATTGTCCTGCCCTGAACAGCCTGCTTAGCTCCTTTGAATTCAAGGCTACGGCTTTTTTTAGGGAGTCAGTCCTTCTCGTATTTTGCCTTCCTCTTTTCCTGTTGCCGTCAACCTTTCCCAGTACTGTATTCTTGTATTTTCCAGGGAATCCTGCCTTCTCATGATGTGCCCAAAAGTAGGACAGCCTCGGTTTCAACATTTTTGCCTCCCGAGAGAGTTCAGGCTTGATTTGCTCAAGGACCCACTGGTTTGTCTTTCTGGGAGTCCAGAGTATCTGTAAATCTCTCCTCCAGCAGCACATTTCAAACAAATCAGTTTTTCCCCCCTGGCAGCTTTCTTCACTGTCCGGCTTTCACACCCATACATAGTAATCAGAAATGCAAGATTGCGGATGATCTTGGTCTTCATCTCCAGTGACACATCATCTCCAGTGACACATCTCCAGTGACACATCTTTACATTTCTAGTTCCTTCTTTGAGATAAGCACTGACACCAAGCACTAATTATGAATTAGTGACTTCCAAAACGTTTAGCCCATAACAACCTGGCTCATGAAAACTTGTGGCTGGGGTTTCCTGTATGGAGTCAACCCATCTCATATTTGGTCCTCCTCTTTTCCTACTCCCTTCTGCTTTTCTTCGCTTTCCAGCGATTCTGGTCTTATGATGATGTGTCCCAAATATATTAGCCTCAGTACAGTGGTGCCTCGCTTAACGAGCGCACCGTTTAACGAAGAATCCGCATAGCGACACGTTTTTTGTGTTTAATGCATTCCTACGGGTTCCCCCCCTCGCATAGCAACGAATCTGACTAGCAACGTTAATCCTGGAACGGATTAACGTCGCTATGCAGGGCACCACTGTATAGCAATTTTGGTTTCTAGCAAGAAATCTGTATGGATGTAATCTAATGTAATAATAATCATACGTTGTCAAGTTGATTCCAACTTGTGGCAGTTCTTTCTAGAGTTTTCTAGATATAGAGTACACAGAAGGGGTTTGCCACTCCTTTCTTCTGGTGGTGCTCTAGGGTTGTGCAGTTTGCCCAAGGCTATACAGGCTACCTCTTCTCCTTGGAGACAAAGTCGGGAATCAACCTCCCACCATCTGGCTCCACAGCCAGGTGCCCAGCTCACTGAGCGATACAGCCAGCTATCAACCCCCCCCCCTTATTTGTCTTTTTAGTAGCCTGCAAAACCAGTACAGCTGTCCTTCAATGCCACAAACTGACTTTTCTTCCGTTTTCTTTACTGTCCAGTTTCCACATTTATACACAGCAATCAGGAATATTGTAGTGTGGAAAATGAAATAAAATTCTTATTTTAAAAGGTAAAGGTTCCCCTTGACATTTTCAGTCCAGTCGTGTCCGACTCTAGGGGGCGGTGCTCATCCCGTTTTTCAAGCCGTAGAGCCAGCGCTTGTCCTAAGACAGATTCCGTTGTCACGTGGCCAGCGCGACTAGGGAACGCCGGTTTACCTACCTACTGATGTGGTACCTGTTTATTTACTTGCATTTGCATGCTTTCGAACTGCTAGGTTGGCAGGAGCTGGGACAAGCAACGGGCGCTCACTCCGTCGCATGGATTCGATGTTATGACTGCTGGTCTTCTGACCCTGCAGCACAGGCTTCTGCGGTTTAGCCCACAGCGCCACCACGTCCCTTTTATTTGTGCTTAATTGCACCATAGGAGTGTTGTTGTCCACCAGGAGCACTCTTTTATGGTCACAGAAATACATTGACAGTATACCTATGGATGCTGTTGCTGAGAAGAAAAAATGGTTAAGGCTGTGCTGTTTGCAAGCTTCTAAAGGTTGTGTGATTCGTCATTTGAGAAATCAGATTCTTGAGGAGGTGAATCTAGGTTAGATCTAGTAAGACAGTTCTTACATTCTTGCTGTGCCATCATTATGAAACAGTCCAGAGGAAGGTGCAACAAAATGTTGAGTGCTTCCTGTTCAAAATTCCAAGGCCATCATTCCCTTCCCTCCCTCAAATTTCAATCCACTGCCCTCCACAGTCAGTCAGGATCTCATGGACAGTCGTTGTTGACCTCTTCTCTGATGTCTCCACCACCTTAGTTCTTTATTTTTGTTTATATGCAAAAGTCAAAAGCTTCATGGCCTAGCTTCCTGTTAAAAAAAGGAAGCTACCCCAGTGTTACCTGGGAGTTCTAGGGCTTCCTGGGAGGTGTAGTCATGCTGCCCATTAGGCCGTATAGAACAGTGATCCCTAACCTTGGGCCTCCAGGTGTTCTTGGACTTCAACTCCCAGAAATCCTGGCCAGCAGAGGTAGTGGTGAAGGATTCTGGGAGTTGTAGTCCAAGAACACCTGGAGGCCCAAGGTTCGGGACCACTGCTATAGAAGAACTAGAAACCCTAGAACTCCCAGGTAACAATGGGGCAGCGTCCTTTAACTGAAAGCTAGGCCATGGAGCTTTCGAGCTAAGCCCTTTTCCAGGTGAGCGAAATGCATGTGTGTGCATGTTTATGGCATGTTTGTAGGTGTGGGGCTATGGGTTATGGGGCTGGACCTCCCAGAATTCAGCCCAGGGAGTTCTTGGAGAATTCTGGAAGATGGTTTCCAGAAACTCCAAAAAGCACATCCCCACAACATTCTCCCATGTTGGTACATGAGTGGTGCCATTTTGGCTGTATGACTGTTGTCACCTCTTGCCTGTACCTCCAAAACAGAAGGAAGGGGGGCTGCTGAAAGTCCCTTGGTTCTGCTGATGGCCTTTCATTCTCTTCCATTCCTCTTCATTCTGGAGCTGTAGAATTGGAAGGCACCTCAAAGGTAATCTTGTCCCAGAGTAATGCCTCTCTGACAGATGACCATCCAACGTCTGTTTTAGAAACCTCCAGTGAAGGAAAATCCACCTCCTTCCAAGGGAATCCGTCCCATTGTGAAACAATTCGTACTTTAAAGACGTTCTTCCCTTATGTTTCTTGGGAAACTCTTTGGTCGCCCTTTGAATTCACTGCTTCTGGTCCTACCCTCTGGAGCAGCAGAAAACAAGCTGGTTCCATCTTGCCCCTAGTAGCGCCTCTATTATACAGTGGTGCCTCGCTTAACAGCGATAATCCGTTCCAGGAAAATCGCCGTTAAGCGAAAACATTGTAAAGCGAAAATAAAAAGCCCAATGGGCTTAAAACTCACCATCCAGGGAAGATCCTTCACACGGCGGCCATTTTCGCTGCCTGTATAGCGAGGAATCCATCCCTAAACACAGCAGGGAGCCATTTTATTTGCCCAGTGGCCATTTTGAAACCGCTAATCAGCTGTTGAAAAATCATCGTTTTGTGAAGAATCGGTTCCCGAAATTCCCCCATTTAGACCATTGTTTTGCGATTTCAAAAAGATCGTCGTAAAGCAGATTCGTTGTAATGCGGGGCAATCGTAAAGCGAGGCACCACTGTATTCCTTTTTTAATTCCTCAAGGAGAACCTTGCGGTGCCCATCAAGAGCATTGCTCCTTTCTAGGGATTCCTTTTCTTTTTTCTTTCCAGGAATTTCTGTACCGGAGTGACTCCTGGTGGCCGAATCAGGCCGAGCTGGAAATGCAGGACCAAGGCCCCGAAGAAGGATCGTTGGGTGTCCGGAAAGCTCCTCAGATCCTCCAGGCTGTGACTGTTGGAGAGGACCTTCAGAGAATACCCGTTGCACAGATTAAACAGGAACCGGGCGAAGGGCCGCTTCAGCAGTGGGAAGCCCAGTGGCAGGAGTTTCTGAAGACCGTGGAGGCTCCTCTGGCACGCTGGACCGTGGGACCTTGCCTGGAGGAACCCCCAGAAGTCCCGTGGGATGATGTCAAGGCGTTCCTGGCCTCCTTTGAGCAAGTGGCCGCAGCCTGCCAGTGGCCCCGGGACGAGTGGGCGGCTCGACTTCGGCCGGCCCTCCGAGGGGAGCCCGAGCGGGCTTTTCGCGCCTTGGAGGGCCAGGACAGAGAGGATTATGGGAAAGTGAAGGCCGCCATCCTGCAAAGAGATGCCCTGAACCGAGAGAAGCACCGCCAGCACTTCCGGCGCTTCTGCTACCAGGAAGCCGAGGGGCCGAGAGGGGCTTACGGCCGGCTGCGGGAACTCTGCCAGGGGTGGCTGAAGGTGGAGAGGCTCACCAAGGAGCAGATCCTGGAGCTGCTGATCCTGGAGCAGTTCCTGGCCATCCTTCCCCCGGAGATCCAGCGCTGGGTACGGGAAGGTGGGCCCGAAAGCTGCACCCAGGCGGTGTCCCTGGCGGAGGATTTCCTGTTGAGGCAGCAGGAGTCCGACCGATGGGAGCAACAGGTAAGAAACTTTCATTCTGAAAATTCTGAGAGGTCCCAGGTTGGTGCTAGGATGTTTTTTTTTTAAGTAACTAAAAAACAACTTGTTCCATTATGTTTTAAGGAAATAATAAAGAATTACTTTCTGTTGCAACGGATAGAAAAGTAGAAAAATACAATAAAAATATTTATTAAAAAAGAATTACTTTCTAAAAATAGTACCTATGAGGTTAACTCAGTATTCGGGGGGGGGGGGGATTTGCAGTTGTTACTCATTGTTTTTATGAAGGAACTAACCAAGCACTTGTACTGGGTACATCAATTTTGTGTCTTAAATTAACACAGTCTCAGTAGGATAATGGTTATTCAGTCTCCGAGTCTAGAAAACTTCCTTCTGTGGCCTACATTTCCCAGAATCCCCGTGGCCACGCTGGCTGGGAGATTCTGGGGCGGGGGGGAGATGGAACACAGAACAACAAAACTACGGAAGGAACTTTTTTCCAAACTCTGCTTCTTTTTGCATTCGCACCCCTCAGTGTTCTTGTCCTACTGAAAAAAAAAAGGATATTTACTGTACTGCTTTTCTAGACATCGATGAAGTTTGCCGAAGCAGCCACCGGCTCCATGAAGGCAGAGCCGGCTCCGTCCTCCCCCAGAGAGAGCCATCTGCATAAGGAGGCTGAAGCGAAACGAAGCCAGGCGGCTGGCTTGCTGAGTAAGTCAAACTCCCCCAGAGGCGTTGCTGTTCATGGGTTGTGTTAAAAATATGAAATACACACACACACACACACACACATACACACGGCCTTCCTCCCAATCTGATAAGTCCATTTTGTGGCCACTGAGCATGCTGCGTTATCATCGGACTGTTCTATAACATTCTCCCCCATCATCCCCCTCTACAGATATATTGTACTTCTGGAAATTTTGGGATTTCTGTGAGCTTTCCTATCTATCTATCTATCTATCTATCTATCTATCTATCTATCTATCTATCTATCTATCTATCTATCTATCATCTATCTATCTATCTATCTATCTATCTATCTATCTATCTATCTATCTATCTATCTATCTATCTATCTATCTATCTATCTATCTATCTATCTATCTATCTATCTATCTGCTTGCTTGTTTGCTTGCTTGTTTTTGTTTGTTTGTTTGTTTATTAGGCCGCCTTTCTCCTGATAAAAAAACCAAGGAGGCCCACAATATGAAAAAGAATAGAATTAGAAACATAATAAATTAAACATTTAAAAAGCAAGTAAACGTTCAAAAGTATCTTAACTTTTAAAAGACATCCAGGTGCTTTCTTGTGCTTCGGTGATACTATCCTAGTTATATAAGTGGCAACACTCAAGAGAGTCACAAATGTAAATAAAGGAAACAGCAGAAAAAATGCAGCATTAAAGGTGTGCCATTCAGTTGTGGATTTTGTTCTCACTTCAGTTCCCAAATTCCTCCAAGATTTCTCCAGCCCACAGACCCGCACCTACAGGCTCATGCAGGCACCTACATTTCGCTCGCCTGGACCATGGCGTATCTCTGAGCCTGGTTGGCTGACTCAGGCCTTGTTGCTTATCGTTAAGGTTTTGTTGTTGTTGTTTTTTAAGGAAGTCATCATGGTGTTTCTTGGAAGTCTTAGTGCTTTGGGGGGTGACCTCTTATAGAGCCGAAAAGGCAGCGAGACTACAACTGCCAGGAAGCACTGCAACAGCTTCCTTTTCACCCATACATTAGCAACAGGAAGTAAGGCTTTTGCTAGGCCGTGCAGCCCTGGTAACAGCCGAAACGTAGGTGCCTGCAGGTGTGTTCAAACTCCACAAATTCTGCCTGGACAATTTTTGGAAGGTTCTGGGAGTTGGAGTCCAGAAGATCAGCAACAACAAATGGCACATTCCTACATAGAGCTTTAATCGGTCGTAATGGCTGTGGGATTGTGGGAGAAGTTGTCCACAAAAGTGAGTCCTTCCATAGCAAGGTCTATGAGAATACACATAAACAAATACATTTCATAAGTAAATTTGCAGAAGTATTAGAGTATGGAAGAAGCTTTGGTCCCACGAACCTCCTTGTAGGCCTCATGTGGCATCTTCAGACTTTTGACTGGTCACTTCCTGTTTTTCAATAAAAGACCGTTTCCTGGACTGAAAAAAAGGCCCAGGAACATGGAATTACATTCAGAGGACAAATTGAGTTCCTCCTGAATTTATAATCTAATAATTTGAGAACTCCAAAGCTGGAAGAGAGCCACATTGAGTCCAGCCTGCCCTCAAGGAGGACCAGTGGGGAATCAAACTCCTAAACTTGGGCTCCCCAGCCAGAGATCTAAGCCACTTTGAGCTATACAGCAGCTCATTTTGGAGGACACAATTTGTTATTTAGGAAACTCCCGATTCTTCTCCCCCTTTATGTTCAGAATTGGAGCGGAGGCCTCCAAAGGAAGAAAAATGTCTCACAAAAGGCCAGACCAGGGTGGAAGCAGCACCTGGGGCTTCCGAATTTGCTCATCCCGATATATAAAACGGTAAAGACCAGTAAACAAAAAGCATGTCACGATTCTTATTTCTCCCTTTTTCATTCCTGAAGGCGACACACAGAAAGGTATGACCCAGTCCGAGCTGGATGAGAGTGGGGAGAAAATTCCGGAATATTCCGGGCTGAAGAAGGATAGAGAGAACATTCTGGAATACTCCACGCTGGCAAAATCAGCTGTGGTGCCCCAAAAGAGAGCAAGGGAGACCGTTTCCCAGCTCGGAGAGGAGGGACGAAGCTCAGCGGAGCAACACAGCCCCAAGAGACAACAAAACAAGTGCCCAAAGAATGGGACCAGAAAACCCCTCCCCAGGGTGGTGACCAAGACCCTCGGTGAATGCCTCGTAGGGCTCAACCTTCAGGAGTCGGGCACCCTACGCAAGGAGAGCATCAGGGAGGACTCAAGGCTTTCTGAAGGGTCTGAGTATGGAAGAAGCTCCAGTCCCAAGGACCGCCTCGTAAAGCAGCCACGAATCCACACTCTGGAAAAAAATCACAAATGCACCTACTGTGGGAAATCCGGCTGCCAGGTTTTCCATGGGGGATCCCACGCCGGGAAGAAACCCTTCCAGTGCTCAGCCTGCGGGAAATGCTTCAGCCGCAACTCGCTCCTCCATAAGCACGAACGGACCCACGGAGGGGGGAAGCCCTACACGTGCCCCACCTGCAGGAAAAGCTTTGTTTACAGCTGGAACCTCATCAAGCACAAGAAGAAGCACACGGGGGAGAGACCCCACCAGTGTTCGGCCTGCGGGAAGGCGTTCTTCGAGCGCTCGGACCTGATCCGACACGAAAGGATCCACACGGGAGAGAAACCGTACCGGTGTTCCCACTGTTGGAGACGATTCAGCCAGAAGTGGCTCCTTATGAAACATGAGATAACTCACATGGGGTAGAGACCCTGCCGGTCTATCAAGGATGGGCAGGCAGAAATCATCTTTACATCCAAGTCTTGTTTGCCGTACTAAAATAGACAGATGAGAGCATCTACTTTTAAGGGGTGGCCTGTTCAGGGTTAAATGCTGGCCAGGGAGCAGGCTGAAGCCAATGGTGTAGGAGGCAACCACACCAGGCCATATGCACCCTTTTCTCTCACCCTCTTTTCCTGCCCTCCAGTTTTGTCTCTGAACTGTTCAGTGGCTGAGGTCCCTGGCCTGCAGAACCAGAGGTTATGAGTTCGATTCCCCCCACTGGGCCTCTCACGAGAAGAGCCAGCCTGGGTGGCCTTGGGCCAGCTGTGCCCAGTCCCAGCAGTGTCCCCCAAAGAAGGGAATAGGAAACCCCTTCTGAGTACAGTATTCTGTTTCTAGAAAATCCTAGAAAAGGTCACCACAAGACATAATTGACTCGAGGGCATGCAATTATTATTTTTCTTTCTGACTTTTTCCCCTGCTGCACACACTGTTCCATTTTGCGAAGGCTTTCACAGCCGGGATCTAATGGTTGTTGTGGGTTTTTGGGGGATCTTTGGCCATGTTCTGAAGGTTGTCCTTCCTAAAGTTTCACCAGTCTCTGGCCGGCATCTTCAGAGGACAGCTCCAGAGCACAGAGTGCTGTCCTCTGAAGATGCCCATGGCCACAGAGACTGGCGAAACGTTAGGAAGAACAACCTTCAGAACATGGCCAAAGATCCCCCAAAAACCCACAACAACCACTGTTCCATTTCTCTTTTTTTTTTCTGCCACACTTTTCGATGCCTCCCTGTTTCTCTCTGCCAATCTCCTTTTCTCCTCCTTTTCTTTCATGCTGTTCTCTGTTTCTATATCTTTTCTGCCTCTGCCTTATTTTTCTTGTCTCCCATCCGGTTGCCTGGAAAGGCATCGATCACACCAGACCATTTGCTGGGAGACCAGAAAAAAAAAGATTCGGGCCACTTGTTGGGAGACCGAAATCTGAACCAGTTCTCTAGCTGAAGCCTTTCCACCCCAAGCCCAAGCCCCTTTTTCCCTCCACTCTGGTTAAAACGCTTCGAGAGAGAGAGCGACTACATTCACAGGTTGTTTATCTATAGTTTTCATCAGAAACAAAGGAAGAGAAATGGCAGGCCTCCTGTAAAATGACTCAGGGAAAAAAATCGTTTCTGGAAACCTGCTTAAGGAGAAAACATGCCCAGAATCGTCCTGGGATCTTACGCTGGAGTAAGGGAGAGTGCATAAACTGGAGCAGTGAATTGCAGCTAATTGGCAGTGTGCCTGCTTGCGAACATAGTCCCGTGACTGGCAGTCCGTCAGCACTCTGTGAATTAGCTTCGCTTTGCGGCCACAGTGTCCTTTACTCTGGAGTAAAATCCCACTGGGATTCTGGCCCATGTCTTCAAACTGGCCTCGATGAAAAACCTTTTGATACGAAATGGGATGAATGAACAGTGGAATTCGTGGTGATACGATACAAATAAATCTTCTGCTGGTGCGTTCACCTGGTTGGTTTTTCCAGCTTTACACTTGACCAGGGATAGGCTCAAGGAATAGGGTGACGCTTTGAACCGGGGATATTCCATTAAAAATATAATTTGAAGATTGTCTCTTAGGAAGTAGAAACTGGGAGGCAAATCCCTACCTGTCACCAGGTATTCTCATGCCCCTGGGGGGCTCGTCTCCAACATCCTAAACCGCTCTTAAACGTGACACTTTTGTGTGTGTCAGGGGGTGTATTCCTTTCAGGCGCTTGCAGAGATCTTCTACAGCTCCTGGAAAGGAACCACAGAATTATAGAGCTGAAAGGGCTCCTTAAAGGTCATCAAGACCAGCCCCCATCAATCCAGAATATGCTTGACTTGACTGATGGCCATCAAACAAACATGCTCAAAAAAACCTCTGATGTATATGAGTCCACCAACGTCCATTGCTTGCAACAAGTGTGAAGCCACTAAGTTTTTGGTTTGAAATGAGGGTGTTCATCCTTCCCTCCTTGTTTTTCAGAAAGTTTTATTTTAGGAACTTCTGTCTCTCCAGAAGGCTTTTAATCTATTCTGCAAAGACAACCTGCAGGTCTTGCACTCACCTGCTGTACCCTGTTGATGCTGAAGTAAATTAAAAAGCCATTTATGAAGACCTCCTCAGGCCCTGGGCTATCTTTATTTCTGTGACTGGCAGCCATTCTTTGGGGTTTATGGGAGAAATCAGGTTTTCCACGGAAGTCACCTACCTCCTGAAATTGTTTTAAAATGGAAACCACCAGGAACTGATGGGGGCTTTCTATAGACTGTCCTGGTTTGTCATCGTGGGAACAAATGCCGGACTTTGGTCTGATCTGGCAAGACTCGTCTTGGGCTTAAGTGTAGGAATAGGACTTTTTATTTTTTTTTCGGAGACTCTGTTTCTTCAAAGCTCAAGGATTCCCCAAGCAGAATTCTGGGAGGTGCCACCCAGAAACACAGGTCCACAGGACAGGCGTATTTACCTCCGTCAGTGCCTTCTTTGGACTGCTGCTTCCTTCAAGAACATAGAGGCTGTCCCAGTGCTGTCTAGGGGACGCAGGTCTTCCTGAAAGCGGTACAGTGGTGCCTCGCTTAACGAGCACACCGTATGACAAAATCGCATAGCGATCCGTTTTTTTGGATCGCTAATGCGATCGCTCAACGTCGTTTAGATAAGGCAAAAATCGCTTTACAAAGATCGGTAAGCGTTTCGCTTACCGATCTTCGCAAAACGAAGCCCCGACGATCAGCTGTTCGGCGGACAAAATGGCCACCGGAAGCTCCGTAATGGCCGCGCGCAGCGTTTTCGCGCCCTCCCCTCGCTTAAAGAGGGCGCGAAAATGGCTGCCGGCCATAGGAAACCTCGCTGAATGGTGAGTAAAGGAGCCTTTTGGAACGCATTCAACGATGTTTAATGCATTCCAATGGCTTTCCCTGTCCCATTCAGCGATGTTTCGCTATAGCGAGGGTTAATCCGGAACGGATTAACCTCGCTATGTGAGGCACCACTGTAGTCCTTTGGGAGGTGTCCTTGACAGAGCCTAATGGACAGCAAAGCTACCACTCCCAGAAGGGACCTATGTTTCCCAGATAGTGGGACTCGTTCAGCCCTTGAAGGCAGCCCATCTAGGAGAAGGAAAACCTCCACTGCCTTGTGGTTACAGTATATCCACTGTCTATGTTTGTCATCGCTTTCCTCCCAAGAAGCAGGTGTCTTTTAATTTTGTGGCTGCTGAACCTCCCCCCCCCCCCCGTGGATGCTGAAAAATGTGGATTACAGCAAATACTATTACAATAATAAACACTATAGATAGCATGGTCTCTGGGTCCCTCTAGTCCCCAGTTCTGATAACTCCATCATTAGAGACATATTTCTGGGAATTAAGTCCTTTAACATAATTGTTAAGGGGGAATCTCCTCATGGCACACTGAGTCTCCCAGACTCAGTACATCACAGATATAAGGCCTTCACAAATTTTAACATGAGGCAATTTTCCCTCCAGATGTGGCAGTACCAGAGGATTGCATCCTGTACCCATTTGAAAAACTCATGTATCTTCTCAGTGTTGTACTGACAAAATGTACACTGTGAGGAAAATTAGGGAAAACAATTTCTCAAAGGATATATACTTGATCACATTCTAGCAGGACTATTACCCTTTTTTTCTGATCAACTTCACTTGAAGGCCAAAGATACAGCTCATCATTTTTCCCCTTCATTATTTAAATGTGTGGGTTGATTTGGGAAGGAATAAAGCCGACTTATTTGTATACAGCATCGTTCTTATGTTCCCAAGAATGGGTAGAATAGAATCAACTTACAAAACACAGCTTGGCGGTTACCAGGCTTGAAAGGATGGGAGAATAAAATGGTGTTGTAAATTCCAGGAGTGTTATGGAATGAATTTCAAAAATTAGGCATATTGAACAGATTTTAACCCAGCAACAGCTGCGTTATTTTTATTAAGGGTTGTTTACAGCACTGACATCTCTCACTAACTGAGACATTAGTTGGAGAAAGAAAGATTATGTATGTGCCCACTCGTGTGCGTCCCACAACCTCACCATGATCCACTCGATTATATTTTGACCCTGAAATATCAGGGAATGGGAAGATGCTGTCGCTAGCTTTACAAGAAGACCCTTCAAAACTATTATTTTCTTGAAATCGTGGGGGGAATGGGTGAAATACCAGATGACTGGAAGAGAGCTAGCACTGTCTCAATCTATGAAAAGGAGGAACCAGGGAACCTCAGAGTGATCAGACTGACACTGATCACAGGGAAAATTCTGGAGCACATTATAAAGCACTCACTCTGTAAGCACCTTGAAAACAATGCAATACTAACTAGAAGCCGCCAGGGACTTGTCAAGAACAAATCCTGGCAAACTAACCTTATCTCCTTTTTTGATCGGGTAATCTCTCTGGTAGATGGTGGGAATATGCCTTGACCACATCCTCGCGGCACCCCAGGGGACCCCAGCAGCTTTTCTTAGAACAGAGACAGGTATGGTGTCCATTAAAGCCAGGGCAACTCTAGCTATACTCTCTTACTATAAGAGGGTGATGGATATGTCCGACCATCGTCCACCTAAACGTTGTATACTAGAGCAATGGAAGAGTGGCGGCTGGGCAACTTCAGTTCAAACCCTACTAAAATCTAAATGCCTCTATACAGATTTGTTTTTTTCTGGGATTAAAAGAATGTTGAGGGACTGGCTCTACAAATTGGATAATGACCAGGACTTAGCCATAATTCACTCTTCAGATTTCTCTCACTGGTACCATCTGCTGAAAACAAACCACTCAAGGGCGCAATACTTACATACACTTACTTTTGCCTCCTTGAGAACCCCATTCACAGAACTCCGTTTCCAAACCATGCCAACCGCTGTCTTAGACGGCAGGTACATGAATGTCCCCAAGCATCTAAGGCTGTGTATTTGCGGAGCAGGTGAGATAGAGGATGTTTTCCACTATTTACTCAACTGTCATCTCTATCAAAAACCCAGAGAAAAGTTCTTGGGTAACATTTTGGCTGCTCTACAGGAGGAAAGCCCTCAGACAAAGGTGGTCAGGTTACTTTTGGATTGTGACCCATATATTACATACAGAACAGCGCTGTTTGCAAAAGCTGCCAGAAACATTTGTGCTAATTTCCTGAGAGCCATCGCGATCAATTGTGCAGGAGACTCCCAGATATGAAGGGTCTCTTATTATTTTATATGTCTATGATTTCATCACGATTTTATTTGATCATATTTGTATTTTAAACAATTGTTTGTATTTTAAACAATT